TAAATGATTATTTGGGAGAAATTAATATATAGAATAATAAATGAAAATAACTAATCCTATTGATCCCCCACACGCTCCAAATTCTTGAAAGTAAGCATTTAAACCTAACCCAATTATCCAATTCCTACATGTCTTATTGATTCCTAAAATTTGAAATTAAACCCTTCGCTTTGCCTCTGAAATTGCTGAAGAAGTTTACTGGTGAGTTGTTAGTGACACACTATCAAATAATGAGAAATTAAATCATACGATACTATCAAAATATGAAAACAGGGGGAAACAATTGTAAAAGATTTTGCTAAGGTACATTCTATTAAATCTATTTTATTTGTATACAAATGAATATTTAGTATCGGCGACATGAATATTTAAGTAATTAAAATTTTTCATCTAAAAAAATAGTTAGATAAAAATATACAATTTTACCCCCACTGAGCAAAGTTTATGAATCTGACCCTAGTAACACAACATAGTACATAACGGGATATTCTAGGATCCAGAATACACTCTGGAAATTTTCTCGTCATTTAATTTGTTTACAATTGAGTTGACAATCCATAGAATCTTAATTTTCAATTGGCAATTTAAAAAAAAAAAAGAAACTAGTTATGGAGCAAATTAAATGTGACCTAAATAACTCAAGGCACACAAGAAAAGCATTGACCGTCATGGTGACAAGCTGTTGACAGATTATATGAGGATACTTTGTAAACTACCAAATGTAGCGTAATTATATTTAAATTATGCTTTATATTGATATCCTACATCTACCAAAATTTAACGTAAACCTCAGAATAAATATAGAAAGAAAAGAAGCTTTATTGCAATAAAAAAAAACATGTCGCTTGGAAAAATAAACCATATGTTTTCTCGTGTCATGTAAAATAATAATATTTTCTCATTAATAATAGAAGATAGATTGTTGTTATTTGGGTTAATTGCGAACACACCCATGTAGTATCACCAAGTTACACTTACTATCTTATAGTATTGTTTGTTGCGTTTACACCCCTCCAGGAACCGAACTCCCTGTAACCCATATTAAATGTGAGATGTCCTCCTTTTATAATACCCAAAATGCCCTCTAGATAGGCTGGAAACCTTTCTAACTTATTTGCTCTCGTTTTTTTGGCTCTTTGTTCTCTTAGGGCATCTCCAACAGGTTCTCTAAAATTTTCTCCAAAATGGGGAAGCAAAAGTCTGTTGCGCGTAGCGGAAATTTCGGCAGTACTTCGGCAGCACTTCGGCACAACAATAGAGTTAGATCGAAATAGGAAATCATGTTTCACAAAGGAAACATGAACCTTAAGCAAAATATTTCAACCAAGTGAGATATCAGCTCTTCCTCTCACCTTCTAGGACTGACCTGTCGAGGGAACCTAAAAGCTATTACAAATCACACAAATAGCACTACAACCAATTTTTACGTGGTTCGGCAAATAGCCTACGTCCACGGGACAATGAGGGGGGAGATCTACTATTAGAGGGAGAGATTACAACTAGGGTTTACAATCACTCACAACTTAAACCCTCAAACAAACTCTCAAATCCCTCACAATATCTCTCTACAAAAGGATGCACAAAAAAAAACTCTCTCAAAGTCGGCACTTTCTTCCCTGCTCAGCAATTTCTCCTCTACCGAAAAGAATTAATTACTCACAGCCGGAAGAAAAATTCGTGCACGAAACCACACGGCAATCTCCTCTGCCTTTGCACCCTGCAGCCGCCAAACAAATCACAAACCTCCTTTTTGCACACCCTAAAAAAAAAATCAAGTTGATATATATACTTAGGTGAAAAACGGTTCGTGGGCCTTCGTGGGCTTCGTGTCTCTTCACGCGGAGATGAAACCACGTTCACTGCCCCCACGTTCACAATTCTCCACCTCGGTGAAGTTTTCCCAAAACTGAGCCGACACCAAAGCAACCAAATGTCGGTATCTACTCTCAAATCGGCTACATCATAAAGACTGTCTATGTATCCTCTTGCCCAAGGAATCAAGCCTTACGTAGTTCACCCAAATGGCCGCCAACGGTCTCAACAATTACGAATGTGCAACAAGCTTCTACAATGATCAAACTTGTTGCTCGGAACCACCTTAGTGAGCATATCCGCCGGATTATCCTTTGTGTGGACTTTCACAATCTCCACATCACAATCTTCAAGAACATCCCGAACGAAGTGATAACGAACGTCAATGTGCTTCGTCCTCGCATCAAAAAATTAATTCTTCGCCAAATAGATAGCACTCATGCTATCATAATGAATAGTGACGGACCTCTGCGATATACCAAGTTCCTCCAAAAGTCCTCGAAGCAAATAGCCTACGTCCACGGGGCAAGGAGGGAGGAGATCTACTATTAGAGGGAGAGATTACAACTAGGGTTTATAATCACTCACAACCTAAACCCTTAAACAAACTCTCAAATCCCTCACAATATCTCTCTACAAAAGGATGCACAAAAGAAAACTCTCTCAAAGTCGGCACTTTCTTCCCTGCTCAGCAATTTCTCCTCTGCCGAAAAGAATTAATTACTCACAGCCGGAAGAAAAATTCTTGCACGAAACCACACGGCAATCTCCTCTGCCTTTGCACCCTGCAGCCGCCAAACAAATCACAAACCACCTTTTTGCACACCCTAAAAAAATAATCAAGTTGATATATATACTTAGGTGAAAAACGGTTCGTGGGCCTTCATGGGCTTCGTGTCTCTTCACGCGGAGATGAAACCGCGTCCACTGCTCCACGTTCACAAAGTCATATTCTCCAAATTATTTTTACACCAACCCCAACAGCTTCCCCATTTTGAAGAATTCATTTTTTCCTCCAAAAATTTGGAGAATGCTGTAGATTTGGGGAAGCTTCCCCATTTTTTCTCCTCCATCCCTATTTTGGAGAATGAGATGGGGAATCTGTTCCTCCATCCCTATTTTGGAGAATGAGATGGGGAATCTGTTGGACCAAAAACCTAACTATATTCTCCAAAAGTGGGAAATGGGGAAGCTATCTGTTGGACCAAAAACCTAACTATATTCTCCAAAAGTGGGAAATGGGGAAGCTGTTGGAGATGCTCTTTAGAAAGACACCATTGGCGCTTGTTTGAGCTCCATTTGAATGGGGTAGATGAGTGAGATTAGGTCTCAATTTAATGTCTCTCTCATTCTTTTTTTCTTTGTTTTCAAGTTATACCCTACTCTTCCAATCAATTGGTGAAAACAAAAGAAAGATATCAAGTTCATCATTACTTCAACCTCTACCATGTTTCTAACTGATTTTTGGAGAAGGAAATGCAAACAAATGGACAATCAAGCTTCTAAATGTAAAGCAACATAAGTGCTAATTGAATTTGTGGAGGGGGGTTTTGTCTGATTTTTTAGTTTTATTTGTAGCAAAAAAAAGTTGTCTTTTGTCTTACTGTCGACTTCAGTGAACAATTTTGATGCCGGAGTATGCATCCTTGAGATGGGTGAGAATAGGTGAGACTGGGTGAAACATGAACAACAAAAGTTAAATCTGATCTTTGGGATAAGAGAGGACTTTCACTTGGGGCTAATTTTGTAATTTGGGATGGAGCTTGGTTCCCAAGGGATGTAAGTGCAACAAAAAAATACTACAGGGGTAGTAAGTGCAACTAAATGATAGTACAGAGAGCGTGTTCGCAATTAACCATAACCCTTGTTTTTTTCCCCCTATACTATGAAGTGTAGAGAGTTACATAAAGTTCACAAACCATCTCAACTTTGATCAACTTATTGAGAGTTATAGGCTACAAAGACTCGAAATTTTAACAAAAATAAATAATAATAAAAGGGAGATGGGTTATGAAGTAAATCAAAATTAAATACTTCAATTGAAGACAAATCTCACGCAACTACCATGCTTTGGGGATATTCTTCGATCATATACTTTTTGTTCAGGAGGATTACAATATTTTTTTTTTCAAAAAGAAAAAAATTCAAGAATTCGCATATTTATGTCTCTACATTTTTTAAGGCGTTTTGGAAGTTCATGATTGTGTTACTTATTAAAAGTTGTATTGTAATTTTCCGTGAACCCCAACTTCATGTTAGTTTTATGAAATATTACAATTTAACTCATGTTACATAAGCCCAGAACTAACAGCATTGCCGAAGAGGAAATAGCTCCAACTTCATAGCGCTCTATCGGATCACTTCCCTTTAGAGGTATTAAATGAGCGTGTTTAGGTATTAAATGGGCGGGCCATAAATGAGTGGGTATGTTTTGCCCATTTACCCATTTATGACCCATTTAATATTTTCTAAATGAGCGGGTTTTTGCCCGCTCATTTAATAAATGGGTCACTCATTTGCCCATTTAACTATAATACTCCGAGAATTAAAAACTAGAAATAGATTTCTTATTCAACAAATCTTCATCTACAGGACAAGGATGACAATTTTCACACTGCCACATCACATAGAAATGATAAAACTTAATTGACAATAAATATTACTTTCCTCTAGTAATGTTTCATTGTTTCTTGTTTCTCATAAAGTTTTGATTTTGGGTTCAAATGTACAAGCCATGCAGATAAGCTAATTAACCTCTGGCTTCGCAGCTAATGAATAACCTGAACTCATGCAAACAAAAAGAAGAGATCACATAATCACCGAAATAATTTCAGTGAGTTGGAAACGAAATGCTACATTTAGCTTATAATAACATTCTGAGGATTAGTGATTAAGAATTTAAACACCGCAAATAGAAAGGTTATTTCTTTTCTCGTTAATTACAATCCAAATTTCCACCAAAATATATGACTTAAAAGTTTCCGGAGCCCACTGAAAAAAACCGAAGCCTTCGTCTCCTTCACTACATAATTTGCTACTACCAACCCAAAACCGAGAACGAAAAGTTCAATTCTTTATAATGGAATCGAACGAGCTCGATCGGAGGAGAAGATGAAGAGGCGGGAGCTTATCTTCAACGAACCCTGATCTGATTCAAAACAGACAAAAAAAAAAAAAAAAACGAAGAGGCGGGAGCTCGCCGCAGCAGCGTGAGTCCTTACGGTTCCGCCCCAGACGATGACTGCAGTCGACCAACGTTTTCGGGTTTTGGTTTTGGGATGACGGAAAGAAATGAGGAGGCCGAAGGGTTCTGCAGGTTCTGCTTCTTAACGGGTTCGGTTACTTTACACAAATACTCACCCGAAAATCACTAACCATCAACTATGTAAACATTCCCTCCTCTCTTCCTCTCAAAACAAAAGGGAAAAAAAAAATGGAAAGAACTGATTCATCAATTCCTCCCATAATAATCTCCACCGAATTTCTTCTAAATTTACTCAATAATTACCAAATGAATGCAATCCCTAAATCAACTCCTTCTCTTTTTTTTCTCAATCTCTCCTCTTCTTCATCTTCAATCCAATGGAGAGCGCTCCCTTATTCCCTGCCCTCACTTCATCATCATCCTCCTCCTCCTTTCACTCCGCTGCCCTATCCTTCACCCTATCCGATAACCAATCTCAACTGGACAATACTCATGTGCCCATTTCCCCATTTGCCGACCCTCCGATCCTCCCTTCGATGATTTCTCCATTGAGGCATTCCGTTGAACACCTTCAAGCCACTGTCCATTCTCATCAAACTTCCACCGATGACTATACTTCTGACGATACCACGTTTATGTCTCCTAGGATGAGGAGCTGTGATGTGTATATTGGGGTTTCTTCGTGTAAGAAGCGGCCTACGATGGTTCGGTTCGTTAGGTGGCTTCGGGCTGAGCTTGAGATGCAAGGCATTACTTGCTTTGTGATTGATCGAAGTCGGTGTAGAAGTGCTCATGATCATGGTGTTGCGAGGTCGGCGATGGATGTGGCTTCATTTGGGGTGGTGGTGGTCAATGAGAAATCGTTCTCGTGTCCTTATAGTATGGAGGAGATTCGATTCTTTTTGGAGAAGAAGAAGTTGGTACCAATATTCTTTGGGCTTGCTCAAGTTGAATGCATTCCTAGAGATATCATTGAAAAGAGAGGGGATGTATGGGAGAGAGATGGGGGTAGGTTATGGGAGGTATGTGGTGATCTGGAAGTTGAATGGAGGGAGGCTATAAATGGGATTTCACGGCTGAATTTAAAGTTGGAGGCTAATGCTAGTAATTTGAGGGATTGTGTATCGGAGGCTGTGGTTATTTTTGGATCGGGGTTGGGGAGGAGGAGAGTAGTGGAGAGGGTGAAGAGTTGGAGGAATATGGCGGCTGAGGAGTTTCCTTTCCCTCGAAATTCTAGTTTTGTTGGTAGAAGCAAAGAGCTTCTTGAGCTCGAGTTGCTATTGTTTAGAGATGTTGAAGGAAAAGACGAAGAGAGTAGAAATCGAAGAAGGCAAAGAATGGCTGAGGTGGTGATGAGAGAAAGAGTTGTGAAAGAATCTGAGGAGAGGAGGAGAAAGGGCAAAGAGACATTAGTGCAGAAAGAGTATGTGGAGGAGATCAAAGCACAAGGCGAACCAAGAAAAGTAAAGTTAGAATATGGAAAGGGGATAGCATGTGTCTCCGGCGACTCTGGTATTGGAAAGACAGAGCTTTTACTAGAATATGCATATAGGTTTTCTCAGAGGTACAAGATGATTTTATGGGTCGGTGGAGAATCAAGGTATCTTCGTCATAATTATATGAAGCTACTTCCTCTTCTAGGAATCGACACGGATACGTTGAACAAGCTTTCTTCCGACAAGAAAGGGCCACAAAGCTTAGAAGACATAGAAGATGAGGCAATTAGAAGGGTAAGGAAGGAACTTTCACGGGACATCCCGTACCTACTAGTGATTGATAACTTAGAGGGGGAGAAGGATTGGTGGGATGGAAGGACAATAATGGGGCTGTTCCCTCGTTTTGGAGGGGCGACCCATGTTTTAATCTCTACCCGTTTGCCTCAAATCATGGATATCGAACCCATGAGGCTTTTGTACTTGTCTAGTGCAGAGGCAATGATTTTAATGAATAGAAGCACTGTTGATATTGGCATAGAAGATGCTGATGCACTAAGGATTCTCGAGGAGAAAGTAGGGAGACTTCCTTTTGGTCTAGCACTTGTAGGAGCTGTACTTTCTGAGTTTGCAATGAAACCATCAAAACTCGTTGATGCAATTAATAGTATGCCATACAAAGAAGTGACATGGAATAAAGGAGAAGATCTTATATTGAAGCGTAATCCTTTCCTCGGACAGTTATTGGAATTTTGCTTGTCATTATGCAATCAAGAATCAAATAAGTTAGCATTGCGGATAGTTCAAGCTAGTAGCTTATTTGCCCCTTCACCGATACCTATTCCAATTTTAACTTTGGCTGCTAAGGAGCCTTCAAGAGAGCATCAAAATTCTCGGTTTTGGTTGAAGTCTCAATGTATGTCTAAGTGCATGTGTATAGAAACACACTGTGAAAAAATTTCAGAGGTTGAGGTTTTGGCTATGCTCTTGAGATTGCGAATTGCTAAGTCTACTACTAAAATAGATCACATTTCTTTCCATGATATCCTTAAGTTGCATGCCTACAAAAAAGGCAATAGTGGAATTGCTCATTCAGTTGTGCGAGCAATAAAGTTTCAAGCATCCATCCCACAACACTCTGAGCATGTATGGGCTGCGTGTTTCTTACTCTTCAAATTTGATATTGATCATGAAATCATCAATATCTCAATTGATGATCTTCTATCATTCGTCGAGCAGTTTGTCCTCCCTCTTGCAATGCATAGTTTTATTACATACTTCCGTTGCAATGCTGTTTTAGAGCTTCTTCGCCTTGCTACAGAAAAATTTGAGGAACTAGAAAATTCTTTCCTGGATGAAGCCAATAATAACCATAGTAGTTCATCATGTTTAAGGAGTTCAGGTTCTATATCAACTTTACAATCTAACCCACTACTTTACCGGAAATTCGCACACTTGAGAGCGACTCTTTTAGAAACAAGGGCAAAGATTATGCTAAGAGGTGGCATATATGACATCGGAGAGAGACTTTGCAGAACAGCTGTCAGCATCAAGGAAGTTATTTATGGTTGGGAGCATCCAGAAACAGTGTCTTGTCGCGAAACCCTTGACAAATTTGTTACCCTTCAACGGACTTTTTAGTTCATTGTACTTTGTATAATTTTGTACTGTCAATTGCCAATAAGGCACCCTTAAATAGGCTGAGCTTCAGATCCTGCGTATAACTGGATTTGATTTAGAATTTTTTTCTTCATGCAAAGTTTGAAGATATATGGAATGCTAATTTTTCTATCAAGCTGATTCATTCGTCACATTTTTCATTATAAAACATTGATACCCAAATATCTAGTAATTTTGAACCGGATATGAGTTATGGATCTTTGTTAACTCAACTGGATCATATTCAACTTTTTTTGTTAAAGCTATTATAGATTTATTTTTTTCCTTTTATAGATAGTAAGTTGATTTCCTTTTTTACTTCAATTCCTTTAAAGTTCTTTCTTTTCTAGTCGAATCTTTTTCTTGAATTGGAATTGCTGCGGCTTGAAAGAACTTCAATTTTCTTTGTTTTCATGAAATTGAGGAGAGCATAGGAACATTCCTCCAGCTCACTCTTGAAGGTAATGCAATTGATAAAAAGAGTAAATTTGATTATTGTTGTTATTTTCTTCTCTCGTCCTTGGAGTAAAATCTGCACCATTTCATAGGAAGAAACTGCAACATGTTTTAAAGCAAACCTGATGTCAATTTTCTTCTTATCCTGAATTAGGAGTTACGTCTTGGAGTAAATGTAAGCTATAGTGTCTACGGCATTGTTGACGATGTGGAGCTTTTGGAGCGGCCGTAGGAATGCCACCTTAAAGGGAGAAGCCCATGCAGAGATAAGCCAGCAGAATCATCATAAATGACTCCCAACTTCTGAAGAAAGATCAAATAATTTCTTAATTGTTAAACATGCTCTCTAACTATTCATACACATATGTTTTGAATTACCTTTACCATTAGCATACGTTCTGTATGCTATATTTGTTCTGTTGTTTATTCCTTTGCTTGCATGTGTATGTATGTTTCTTTGCATATTGGCTTTAAAAATATCTTATCTTCATCAATATATAGGTAAATTGCACTAAATACAATATAGTTTCCCGCTTGTTGCACTTAAATACCACAAGTTGTATTTTGGTGCAAAAAAATACCATAGAGTTTCCAAATTTTGCACGTTACTACCATCGATCATGCAAATGTGAAAATTTCACCCGAATGTTTCTCTATATACTTACATGCTAATTATAGAGATAATATCTATTGAATTTTCTATTAAATTACCCAAATTTCTTTTTCGAACTTATCTTAACATTCAACTTTAAAATAGAGTTAAGATATTTCTAAATAAAATTTAAAAATATTATTAGTTAAAAAGCTCTAAAATTCGTATATAAGTGTCATAAAGAAACATTCTGGTGAAATTTTCCATGTTTGCGTGATCGATAGTAGTAACATGCAAATTTTGGGAACTTTATGGGTTTTTTTTGCACCAAAATACAATTGTGGTATATAAGTGCAACAAGCGGGAAACTGTATCGTATTTAAGTGCAATTTACCCCATATATTCCCTCATACTGACTGTTTTGTATTGAATCCATGCACACATTAATTGGTTCACGTGCTGTTTTTCTCTTTTCCACTCTTCTTGGAACTTAGAGGTCAGCGTAATCCACCATGAAAATTCCTCACGGTACTTCAGTAAAAGACCAGATTCAAACCAGTTACCTCCTTTGTGTCATTCATATCCCTACCAACTCTTCCTAGTTCATATAGATGCAAAAATGTTACGATATACATTTTAATGTTTGTTATGGAGCAAGGACCAAAAACTTCTTATACCGGGGTTGTTTTTAATTCCCTTATTTCGTGCAGACACGTATGTGTTCACACATGACAGGGCTTGTTCTCGCTAATCATTAAATGGAATGAGTAGTATCTGAGCTGAATGATATTTCAGTTTTCCTTTTGCTGCTTCTTTACTAATTCTTTTTTTCTCATTAAAGTTAATTGATGCACCTAATTGAGAGTACAAGATTTCTTTGCCTTATAATATTTTTCCAAATATATGTGGAGGTTAGTTTCCTGCATAGTCATTAACATGTTTGTAGAGCATTATAACCTGAACTGTCTGTCTGGAGAACGTTTAAATTTTTCAAGCTATTAAAAGAGTTTGATTACTTCCTTTTGTAGAACTTGCTTTTCTCAATTGTCTCATTATGATATCAGCTTTCATTGGTGTACTTAATAGTAAACTATATCTCCATATCAGCTTTCATTGGTGTATTTAATAGTAAATTATGTCTTCATCACTATCTTTTTCGCTCTTGGTCCATCATTTATCATCTTCTCAATTGCCTGTATTTGTCATCTTGAACATGACTAGACAACAGCCGCCTCTTGTTACACTGTGTAAATGTCTAAGAAATCAAATTTAATGACGTTTCAGCAATGGCAAAGACAGTTTCTTTTCTGGTAATGACATTTCTTAGATACTATATTCATTTGCTCGTTTAACTGGCGTGACGAATCTGTGTTTGTTCTGAGATGACTATGTATTAGACTTCCCAGATGCACTATGCATGTTCTTTCCTGTCCAACACTTACATGTGTGTAAATCAATATTTACCTTTAATATATGTATATGATGAAGAATTAAGGATGTGTAACCACAAGTTAATAGTTTGTTCTGAACTCATATCCATATTTTGACAAATATCTATAAAAAAATTTGTTCTGTGAAGTACGGATACAAAGCTAGATAGATCGCCGAATATTCAAAAGCATGTCCAAATATGCAAGATTGTTTATGAATGCAACTAATAATATATATAGTATTTCATAATGTGACAGAAAGAACTTTTTTACTGCATTATACATTGAACTTGACACATTGTTTTCTCGGAAAACATTGTTCTGACCAACAATATCTGGTCATTATCAGAATCTAGTCCAAATTCGAATCTATTTTTTTTATGAAACATGGATAAAGAGTTTACTATTCTGACAATATTTGTATCCATATCTGTTGATGCAGAGAGAAAAAGAAAAGAAAAAAAAACAAATCAGCTTAACACATGGAAGATGATGAGAGGAGGGACCTCCAACGTTCTTGCTGATGGAATTGAGCAACAACCTGTTAGAGGATGGTTTCCCCGGTAAGACCTCCGACTGTCAAGTTAGTATCCTCTAGTGTTTTAAAAAGCATCTGTCTAGTCTGTCTAGACGTACGCCTATGCTTAGGCAGTACTTAGGACGCCTACTTAGCGCCTAGGTCGGTACCTAGGCTGACCACTTATGTTCAGAGAATTTTTTGCCTAGGGGAGTGTGGTCTGCCTTCGTGGACTGCACCTTTTACATCTTGATCGTGATTTCCTCTATTGCAATCTCCACATCCTCTAACATCCTCCAAACTCCTCTAGCCTCCAAGTATGAACACCTTCTCTGCTTCCTCCAACCTTAAGCAAACCTCCTCCACCACCACTTAAACGAAGAATGAAATCCGCCTGTGCACCAGTCAGACGATGAAGTTTTCTATAACATTGGTATTTACTATTGATTATTATAATTAAAATTAAAAAAAAAAGGAAAACCACCTAGGCCTCCCCTAGGTTCCCACTTAGGTCCTAGGCTCTAGACCTCGGGTCTGACGCCTAGGACGCCTAGCGGTTTCTATAACCTCGGTATCCTCCTTTAAGAGAGAGCACGGACAATAGATAGTAGCGATATTAAAATCCTATCTCTCGAACCCCCTTATCTGACTACCGGACCCCCTATTTATATGTATTTACATGGGCAAATTAGGAAGAGATGAAATACACACGTCAACCTTTCATTGGCCGAGGTTGTTATGTAACAGAATCCCACCAAACCCAAATGAATTGTAACGACACTGGCCCCACTGAGCCAACGTTAGCCGAGCTCCAACTGGTCAAGCTTCACCGTGTTCTCCGAGCTGCTCATTTTGAACTCGCTGGTTGCTTCTCAGGTTGACTGTCAATTCGTTCTGAGCCTTCAGGGAGCATGTTGGTTGCTCATCATAGTGGATGAACTCTGAGACACTTGGCATTACCATCATTGGCTCTCTAGCTAACCCTGGTCATCTACACGACAATATCCATGCTACAAAAAAGAAAACAAATCAAATAATGTAGTATCAGTATCCACTCCCTATCATTCCGTTAGCACAGATATGAAGTATATATGTTGCACTTCTGACAAAAACCAACTATTTTGTAAATTATTCTAAAATTTAGGGTTTTTTTATATGAATAACAACCTGATATTATAGTTATATAAATGAAACATGCACATCTTCAGAAGGATTATGCATATGTTGTCCTGTCCTCATGTCTTGATTTTGGACAATCGTTATGTCTGACATCTTGTTCATGTTTTTTTATGTTTACCCAGAACTCGTCAACTGGATATCTTATTTGTTATGCAAGGGTGCATATCGCACCCTGCCTATGCGAGGAAACCATAACATCGTGACTGTCTCCCAAGTGTGCGGACCCAAATATGGGCCATGAACCACACAGCGAGGTTACGGTTCTTTTCCATGTGAAGTATGTATGTTGCACTTCTGAAGTATATATGTTGTACTTCTGACAAACAACCAACTAATTTGTAATGATTTTAGGTTTTTCTTTTGTGTATATGAAAAACAGCCCAAAATTATAGTCATATAAATGAAGCATGCATGTCTTCAGAAGGATAGTGCATATGTTGTCCTGTCCTTATGTCTTGATTTTGGACAATAGCCATGTCTGACGTCTTGTCCATGTTTTTTTAACCCGGAACTTCTTCATTTGGAAATCTTATATTATTTGTTATGCAAGGGTACATATCGCACACTGCCTATGCGAGGAAACCATGCCATCTTTGCCGTCTCCCGAGTGCGTGGACCCAATTATGGACCACGAACCACACAGAGAGGTTACGGTTCCTGTCCATGTCTCTTTGTCATAGGGAATTATTGCAAGATTCTAATCAATAGACTTTTGATGTAGTTCCTGGTTGCATGAGTTGAGTCTACACCAGTATTGTTTACCCATTAACTGCTTTGTTAATTTGCCTCAATCCCATAGGTTTCTCGAGAGAGCAAAAAACATTTCCATTGAGAATCAACACTGACACTAATAGAATTTCTGTTCTTGATAGTCTCCGATCTGACTGGAAAAGGCTTTGGATGACAGAGTGACCCCAATAATGGTGATAAGTACTGACACGAGACACTTATTTAGTTCATTACAGAAGATTTATCAAACTGATACTGTTGTTTTTTCAGTCTTGGACAATGTAAATGGCTTCTGGATTGAGTCAAGGATGGAAGGGCAGGCACTGACTTCCTCTGGGGGCTGACTTTCTATTTCCAGTTTAACATCAAATTGTCAAAACCTTAACTTTTGAGACATTTTAGATGCCCGCTTCCCTTAATGGTTTGTTTATTTTAGCAACACATTCTTAAATTATGAAAGGCGGTGAGTTTTTCTTATATGATTGATGAGATTAATTTTGATCATATAAGCTTCGCATTGTTCAAGTTTTCTGGCATGTTTCTAGGCTCTGTTGTTAAAAAATTGATGAGTTCAGTGACTGCTAGCTGGTCTTTATTTTAAGAAGTTTAGCTTGAATTTTATAAGCATTTGAATAGCAAAAAGACTGAAGCTAAAGGTTATTGTATTTATGTCATGACTGATTTGCCTGGAGGCCTCGACTATGGCATGGACATCACTAAAATGAGATATTTGTTTAAATGGGAGAAATCAACTTGTATGTATGTGTTTAAGCCATGGTTCTAATGAGGAGTTCTAGTTGTCATCGGATTGTACTTAACTAAGAAGGAAGACATTGATGACTTGACTTATCCAACGTAGCAACCTCCAAATTTAAAATGATTAACTACATGACTTAACTTTTTTAGTTGTGTGATTGGCGAATGTCTATGTTGTATGGACATGGATATGCCAGTATGGACATGATGCATTGATACATGTGCCAGACATTTATCCAACGTGTCATGCTTCCTGATATCAGTTAGGTAAAACAGTGTTTAGGAAAGTTTGCATATGGCAATGAGCATTTTTAGAATGATCAAAATGAGGAACATTCTGCAGTCGACAGAAACTAGTATTGCAGAGACACTTTTAGACCCTACCTTTGATTTGCATAATTTAAATACACATCGAACAAGTCATATAATCATGGACACACTGTACACATTGACAAAGGACATTGAAATTTAAGCAATATTAGAAGAAAAACCTCAGAGTCTGTGGACAAACTAAATAGAAGATTCATAATTTGTGCATGACGGGTACTATGTGTCTGTCTTGTTGACGTTAAAAAAATTGCTAGTAAATTATATGGTTACTTATCATCTTGCCTTCATGGGTACCTTCTAGCAGAGAATGTAAAGATAGAAATTAACCCATGCTTTTTCTTTTTTGAATATTCGTACGAAATAGCACTTAAACATCACATTGGCCCCTAGTCCAAGTCTGCACTAAAGAATCAGTTCATACAGAACCTTCGTGGGAGGGTCATCCTTCTCAATCTTGCTCTTTACTGTTTAACACCATTATACTTCGATGGGGAAGTGAAACTGTATATCTAGGAATTCGATAATCTAGGCAAGCGTAGAATGAAAATTATTTCATCATAATAATTTCACCATTAATGTTCCCTACCACATTTTCTTTTCTTCGGAATAATTTTTTGATGGCCACCAAGTTCGAAGGGTCTAACTCCGTATGCAGGAACTTAATAATCTAGGCAAGTGTAGAATGAAAATTATTTCATTGTAATAATTTCACCGATAATGTTCCCTGCCACATTTTCTTTTCTTTGGAATAATTGTTTGGTGGCCACAAAATTTGAAGGGTCTAACTCTATATGTTTACATGTCCATGGATAGATAGAGCAATGTTTCCATCCTTCTTGAACCTCATTCATCGCTATGACTAACGCAGTTAGCTTTTTCATTCGTGCTGACTACTATTTTGTGGAATTAGAATATTTGTACTGTAGTACACCAAGTTTTGCCACAGATAATGCTGGCAGTAAATACTATGTATGACTTCTTCCATCTTCAACCAGGTTTTAAAGCATTTGAACTATAAAATTAGATTTTAATCTTCGGTCGCTAGCATGCTAAGTAACCTTTTAAAGCAAGAGTACTTTTATTATACCCCATGCGCATTCTTGACATGAGTAAGCAGTTCTACGTCATTCTATTTTGTTTCTTAATACCAGTAGTACCACTGACACCACTTTAGTTCCTTTTTTTCAGTCGTAGATATCCTGGAACTCCAAAACTATGTTTGAGATATGCAGTTTTCTTCCTGTGGAAGTAGTTACATCTTACTTTATCCTCGCCGCACATTTTCTTTTTTTTTCTTTTTTTTTCCCTTTTATGATAGTTGCAGTGGGACTTTAATCTTGCTGTGGTGCATCAATGCCATCTAACGGAATTACCAGCTATAGATGACAATGCAATTGGTAAGCTTGTATGTGAGTCAACCACTATTCTTCATGTGTTTGTGATATGTTAAAAATTACAAATGTTGGAAGGCAAAGCATCTGAAAGAATCTATAGCTGGCCTTTTCTTAGAATCATGAGTACAAGGCACAAAAATGGAGGCTTTACTCACTAGAAGTTCTCCTGTGATGATAAATGATTAAATGTGGTATTTTAACAGTGACTAAGTCTCCATAGAAATGGTGGAAGATATATTCCATATTAACCTTTCAACATCAAGACCTTCACTGGATTAATGGTGTTCCTACCTTTTCTTTTTCTTTTTTCTTTTCTTTTTTTTTTCCGAATCAGAACTTAGTCTGATCCATATGTTAATAAATTTAATCACTTAATGTCTAATGTATTTTTACTTGTTCCTTTTTTATTGTCATAAACAAAAAAAAATTTTGATAACTGAGCCCGGAATTGAACCCAAGACCGTGAGAGTCATATTGGAATATCCCAACCATCCGATTCACCTGCAGTAGGTATTATAAACAAAAGCTTCAATATTAGTATGGCCTATATAAACACTGCTTGGTCAAAAAAAAAAATTTAATATGACTAGAATATGATTTCGCAAAGGAGATGAACAATAAGAGAACTGCTGGATCCATGTCTTTTTTTTAAAGTTGATTCATGGAAGTTGTACATATGAAGTTACCCGGTCAATATTAATGCTTCAACTTGGGGACAATTCATGGGAAAAAGTACACCCAGCGATATCAACCAATTGCAAGTGGTTTAAGTAAAACGAACTTACAAGATATACAAGATAATCCATGTACTGCAATCTGTTCATAGCAATGAATAAATTATTCTGATTTTTTTTTTTTTTGTTGGTCCAGAACTTTGAAGATTTAAGGATGTTATAAGACCGCCCCGAACCCTTTTAATAGACAAATGATGTATGTTGGTTACACTAAAAATAGATTGCTTCTGCATATAATAGTTCATCTTTTTAACTTAACGAGCTCAAGAGATTTATTGTGTTCTTTTCTTCTGGATTGCGGAGGTACTTTTCTACGACTCTAGTCATAGAATTTAAATTCAGCAATTCGACCCTCGTCTAGCTGAGTTATCATATGTTCACTTAGTAGTTATCTAGTTGTGAATCACAACAGCTTGGCGTAAACTTCATATTTATATGGCAGTCATTTTAACCAACTTATATATTAATAAGTATTAAACTACTGTAGCAAATCTGTGGTGTTGCTCTTTCCAACTTTAGAGAAACAATTCCAGGCTCCAGTTTGCTTGTGAATAGAATGCCTATATACACATTCCCTTGTCAACAATAATGGGTTAAAAAACTTTGTATAAAGATTGGTTTATTCGTGTCCTTTTTTATTGTGATTTTATGGGACAAACCATGGAAGTCACAAAGAAACCTATGAAGAAAAGTAAAAGATGGTCAAGACTTGTTGATATTAGAATTCTTATTTACTAGAAAATTTCTTAATAGTTTTACTGTAAAGTAAAAATTATTAGTTCTAATATTTCGAGGATATCATATTGTATAACATCAAGGTGATGACAATCTAACACTATCGAGATATTTATATATGAGAAATGTGACTTATATATTTGATAAAATCGCAAGGTGAATATAAGTATTTTAGTTTATTCTGAATCTCGCTGTCACCTGATTCTTCTTTTTTGTTTTTTTGTTTTTAACCAGAAGAAGAGGAAGGCCATGCCTTCTCCGTGAAAATTTGGAGTAACATTGTCTCTTACTTTTTGGTGCCTTAGCAAACCCAGGATTTGGATTGGCACCGTCTTGGACCTTCTGTTGAGCTGGGAAATTGAAGGAAACACACATTAATTCTCTAGTTTTCAGAAACTGTGATCTGAAATAGCTCTACTAAACAATAACACAAAAGTATTCTTTGTACACAGATTAACAAGCATATGAATCTTTAATTATGAAATCAGTCACTTTATTTACATTAGATGGCTTGGTTCTTAATCTCTGTTGTATGCGGGTTATCCCTGAATCTCCCTTTTGTAAAACCAAAGAACATGATATATTGAGTGATTAAGATAGAGGAAATATATAGTAATATTATACCTATTTATCACTTGGTAAAGATCTAAGAGGTGTAAACAGGCATTTGATTATTAAAGGACTATACCATAGTGTAGCTATACTCAAGTTGTAGTATGTCTTTTCAGTATCTAATTTATATGAAAGGAAATTCCTATTATATGTGAATCTAAGGAAAACATAAGTGAAAACTAAGCGCTAAAAGGTGCTGTTTTTCTTATTTATTTATTTATTTTCTTTCTGCAGTTACTCTGAAGAATGGGTGGATGGAAGCTGAGGAATTGCGCGAGACGTTGTGCATCTTGACCGTGGCTTTCTTGAGAAACCTTCTGTATCGTGAGGAGTTCTTCCCTCGCAAAATGTATGTAGTTGGAATAAACATAGTGTTTGTTGTTGAGGTGGAAGCATCTTTTAGTGTTCATGGACTCTCTTGGTCTGTCCTCTACAGAGTTTGCATAAATTTTGTGAAGACATCTTTTCCCGTCTTTGTCATGAAAGAAAGTGTGCCTTAAAGAGGGTCGTACATTAAAAGTCATCAGGTACAGCAATTTGGTGCGAAAATTTTCCCAACAAAACAATTCCTGTGATAAGCTCTGTTTTGTTTTGGACTATGATGCAAAAGAAGTAACATTGCCGTCCTTGTGACCAAAGAATCAACAAAATGCGCAGGAGGCTTCAAATTGTATCAAAGGTTTTACTCCTTTTCCACCCCTCCCTCTTCTGTAAGAAGCAGAATTTGTGGATGCAGGAGGGGAATGCTATGCACCAGAACTATTTAAAATTCCCTAACATTTGCATCCACACATTACCCCCACGAAACATTGTTCAGCAAACCTTCAGCAAACCTTGAAGCTTCAAGGAACAACAGATGCGCGCGGTTACACTTGAAGCTTCAAGGCACAGCAGATGTGCACAGTTACTGACTCGTTTATTAAAGCAGCTAACAATACAACTTGAATTAACTTCACAATATTGCTCAAAACCATCAGAGCTCCGTGTGTGTATAGGTGAACTTATGTCAACTTAAATGGATAAGACGCATTTGTCCACCAAACTTGTATATATATGTGTGTGTGTGTGAACTTATGTCAACTTAAGTGGATAAGAGTAAGAGGTCTTTGTCCACCAAACTTTCTATCCACTTATATATATACTCTTCATATCTTGTATGGATCCTTAGGTATCATCTCTTCATATCTTGTATGGATCCTTAGGTATCATCAATGGATAGGAAGTTTGGTGGATGGTCCACTTAAGTTGACATAAGAATTTCTCGATATATATGTTCTTAATAAATTTGTTTTGTTGGAACAAAATATATTTTCATGATTAAAAAAAAAACAAGCAACCTTTACTTCCAAGACACATGACCTCTTTTTAATTGGCCCCACATCCTCCTATGATGTAAAAAATACATCAATTCTAGCCCAATGCAAACCAAATATGAACTTGTGTATCTAGACTCAAATAACAAAATACTTCCCTTCCTCACAAAACAAAAGAGAAAAAGAAAATCTAAACCACAAAAGGAAATAGTAAAGAGTAAAACCCTCAAACTCTCAACAAATCCTAAAAAAGACCCACAACATACAAAAAAGCAACGCGTAGCCAAGACAAGCGATAAGAAAAGGAAAGGCTCATGTGGCAATTAACTACTAATAATGGCAACAAAGAGACTAAAGTAAAAAAAAAAAAAAAATCCTAGAGGGGAGAGGATTTAAACGGGGAAGGTGAGGAGTCACACTCTCCTCCTTTGGAAACGGGGAGACACATGGATCATGCTTTTCGATTTGGTTAACGTGGGAGAGTAGAAATAACCAAAGAGATTCGGATGCTCCTCATTATTTTTCTGTGGTTTTTTCTGTATAAACCCAAATCTTTGCCCTAATTTATTTTTCAACCCACTTTCTCTCGAAATCAGTTTCAAATACAAAATAACATACTGATCTATTTTACACGTGTCATTCGTTAGTGTTTTCGCTATTTTTTGTCTAATTAACTATGTTTATGTTTAAGTTGCTATATTTTTAATGTAAGTCGAAATGTTCTTCATTAAATTGCATCAAAATTTAAATTAAATATTTAAAATAGTACATAGTAATTTTAACTATTGAAAGCTTTTCCCGAACTCGTGCTTTTAAAGGAGGTATGATTTTTATTTTCCTTATTTTTTTATAATTTTGAGTTATAACATACTCCCTTAAAAAGTACGAGTTTAGGGAAAAATATTTATAACTAATATTACCCTTAGATTTTTTAAATATTATATTATTATCCTAATCTATTCTAATTATCTTATCTTCTTTGAATTGGTAATAAAATGATTTATTCTGATCATAATAAGACTTAACATGTTATTGGATAAAATAGATACGTTTCATATAATTCAAATCATTTACTTATTTCAGTTCGTAGAGAAATCTAAAAGACATATGCTAGCCAGCACCTAAAAGTTTTTGGACTTTGTAAAAAATATTCTCCAAATTTTTTAAATTACAAAAACACCCCTACAAATTTAAAATTTTATTAAAGCATTTTGAAAATTTTAAATTTTACTTATCTCAATTCAGTGAGAAATCTTAAAATATATGCTAACCAAAAAATGAAAGTTTTTTACTTTGGAGAAAATATCTTATAAGTTTTAAAATTTACAAAAATAGACCTAAAAATTTAAAATTTATAAAAAAACACCTTGAAAATGTCAAACTTATAAACATATTAAAACCTACAAATAACACAAACAACCCCCAAAAATTTATAAAATTTACAATACACACTCTGAACTTTTTACAAATTACAAAATAAAACCCTCAAAATTATAAAATTTATAAAATCCTGATAATTTCTGATCTAACAATACATTAAAAATATAAGAATTATAAATATTTTCTACATAATTTATAATTTATAAAAACAACCTTAAAGTATTAAAATTATAAACAAACGTTTAAAATTCAAAATTTACAAAAAAACACACTGAAAATTTCAAATTCATTAGTAAATTGAAAGCATAGGAAGTATTAATAGTCTATAAAGAATTTACAATCTGTAGAAAATGCCTATAAGTTAAAAAAATTACAAAACTCCTTAAAATTCATAATTTTCAAAAAAAACTCCATAGAATTTCTAACCTATATACACTAAAATAAATATGCAAAATACTAACAACCCCTAGAAAATTAAAATTTTACAAAAATTATCATACACATTTTAAAAGTATAGATTTAGGAAAAACTTTTCATGGTAAATATTACTCATAACTTTTTTAAAAAGAACATAACTAATTAAAAATCTATTAAACTTGAAATTTATAAAAAAATACCCTTAAAGTTTAGTACATTGCAAATTATCCCAATAAAGTTTGAAAATTTTTAATAATTTTTTTATATTTCCTTGATTTCAATGTAATGTTTAATAGTTTTACGTATTAATAAATTATAAATTTTAGAGTGATTTTTTAAAACTTTTTAAAACTTTTGAGGTTGTTTATTTTGTAGTTTTCTAAATTTTCATTGTGTTTTTAGTCTAATGCACATATACATCAATTAATGATAATATTAAAGAATAAGTCGTTCTTACGATTATTAGACCATAGTTAAGTATGCACATCACTATTCCTAGACAGTATAGTTTATATATGTAAAAAATTTCAGACAATCTATGTAGTGGTTAAAAAGATATTGACTTTAATGTACTATTTTTTTACAAATTATATTTAATGTGAACCCACCATATAATTTTGATTGTGGTCATTATAATTTTAATATGTTTGAGTAATTGACTATATACGTATATAGACCATAGGTTACTTTACTTTCTCACATGAACTAACATTTGGTGCTTAATAATTTAAATTATTACTTTTAAATTCAATATAAAGAGGAGCTCTAATAACATTTATTTATTTATTTACAGCATAATACAATCTCAATTCCTATTTTTTGCTGGAGATTTATTCCATAGTTACGTGTATCAAATTAGTAACTAAAATAATAATTATTTATGTTTAAATTAGGATGATTGTAGTTGGTCACTCACTATGAAATTTTTATGAATATATATACCTTACTTTCTATAGCTATTTGCACTGTCAATGTATATTTTATAAATTAGTTATTAATTTGACATATTAAATTACTTTTCTTTGTAGAAATTTTTTCTTTGACTTTTAGACTGAGTAATCACTATATCATCATTCTAATATTAAAAAGACTTCACTCTAAATGACTTCTAGCCAATGTTTGAGTTACACTGAAGTATATACTATTGTTACTATGTGTATATATTTTTTTTAAAAATCATGTCAACACTTTTTAAATAGAAGAGAATATTCTAACATCTGATATTATAAAAATTAAATATGGCTAATTGAATGATTAGTAAAAGAGAACATACATCAGAAAAGTGTGAATAATAAGATAAAGAGGAAATGTAATGGCATTGCCAATTGTACTACAAATAGCAAACTATAATGTAAAGTTAACCTATTTTGTAGAGCCTAACTACTGGCTATAAGCATTGATATTTCCATATATATACTTTATAATTTATTTAAAAGGGTCATATAATCTTATATAATAAAATTAATTTAATATTAAATAGTAATATCATTATAATAATATCATTATTAGGAAAAATTCTTCGCGAATCAATATGCTCTTTACGATATATAAGTTATGCACTCTAAATTTTTGTGTCTTTTATAGAGCAAAAAAGTTTGAATACGAGCTTCTAACATGTTGCTCTCATAACAACAAAATCCACTTAGGAGATATGAATATTCTAGATGAGTTATGTATCCTATATACAATACAATTGTCCTAGACAAGTGAGTTATAATAATATTTTTTATTCACATCGTCTGGGGTAAGATTTAATAGGGACCTTGCATCAAAGTAAAAATAAAATTTTATATTTAGAGCACATGCGAAATATATCATAATCTCCTTGTTCTAATTTCGTAAGAAAATAATTCTTCATACTTTCAATTCTACTTCTATGATACAGAGAATGAGCTATAAAATTGAATGAGAATATTAGATAGTATAAATATGAGCGAAACATCAACAAAAAGTTAATATGAATATAAGTCAAACTACAACTAAAAGTTTAATGAACATATTACAAGTAAATTCATATGCAAAATTCTTTTGCGAATTGAATGATCACCTATCTTTTGAAGACTTCAAGATACTAATAAATAGAGATGTTGTACTAAATTAATGTGTTTATAACTCACAATGGTAGAACACTTAGCCACAGTCTAGGTTGAAGGAAAAATATTTTACTTAAGAGAGAGTATTGAGTTGATGATCAATCTCACAATAAAAAACTTTATTTTTTTTTATTTTTACTCTATTTTTATTAATTTAAATAATCATGATATTCAATCACGTGCATTGCACGTGCATCTCAACTAGTATATATATATATATATATATATATACACACACACACACACACACACACACACACACACACACACACACACACACACACACACACACACACACACACACACACAC